CCTGGTCTCATCTCTCCTCCCCTAACAAATTTCTCAATTACTAGATGGTCAAAGTCACCCAGGTCAAGTCCATTCTGTAATCTAGTTAACATAAATTAGGGATCATGGCTCAGAGGCAGAGAATTTCTTGGTGTACAGAAGGCGCCAGGTTCAGTCCACAGCATCTCCAGTGATAAGGACCAGATAGTAGGTGGTGTGAAAAACTGCCTGACACTCTAAAAAAAAATGAGTGGACAATGCTGACCTTGATAGAACAGTGGTCATTCAGAGTAAGGTAGCTTCATGTCTTCATAAATAATAGAAGTTATGTAATGTGTTAAATATGTTTGTTAGCCAGATAATCCAAATGAAACAATAACAGTTAGTAATACTTTGGAATCTTAAGAAATGTTTGTTTGGTATTTTTGCTGTCTCTTTTCAGTGGTACCAATGGTGGGAGGGGCAGCATTCAGGGAGTAGATGGTCAAAATAATAGCGGTACCTGCAACCAGAAGGTTTACCAGAACTTCCTGCAGAAGAGGTTGACAGAAACCCTGTGCATCAAAACACCAATAACTGTAATATCTGTGTGGTTTGGAAAGTGGCTTTCCAAAGAAGTGGGATGCTCTAAAGGAGTGGGCTTGAGTTGTCTGAGCTAGCTTGTTATCTGGTGCTGTACCTACTATGCACAGACGAAAATGTTTTGCTTTGTAATCTTTGGCAGGGAGGCAGGGCTGTGGAAATGGGGGTCAAGGTTCAGGCTAAAAGTAAATCTATATTCATCTTTAGTCTTCTGTGGAGTCCCACATTGGGATCACGTACATGCAGGCCAGCCATGGAGAGAAATTTGTAGCTGAAAAAGTGAATGAGCACACTCCCTTCCCGCAGAGCTGTTTCCTGTCCAAACAGTCATGTACTCCAAGGTGGAAGCACTCCCTTCCCTTGGTTCCTTTTTGCTGTCACATGGAGAGGATCTCTTCTAGCTTGGCTCCTTTTCAGTACAGACAGACAGACAGACAGAGACAGAGAGAGAGATCATTTTGTCATAGAACTGCCTGGTGGGTGAGAATTTACCACTTTAGTTTGATCTCAGCCATGACTCAGAAGAGAATAATGGCACAAAAACCACTATTCAAAAAGTGCTCCTGCTATGAGACAAAAACGACACGCAGAGCAAACACTCACACTTTCTGCTGCATCAGTGCCCAAATGTGAAGAAAACAAGTTTATTAAAAATAAAAACGAATAAAAATAAATTGTAGGTAGCTGTATTAGGCCAAAACGAAATCCAAAAATGAGCAACAATCACATAATACCTTTTATTAGGATCAACGAAATCACTAAAAACAGTGTGCAAGATTTCCGTTTCTCCACATCTCTTCATTAGGCTGGATGTTACAAAAATAGAGGGGGGATCCTTTATGGGATGAGTGTGTGTCTCTGCAGGGAAACCTTCATGCCGTTCACTTATTTCCACTTGGGCAGAACTTTTCCCTTAGGCAGGAGGTTCTTATTCTGGCTGATCCCCACCTGCTACTGTATAGCTTTCCCTTACAAGGCACTGGACACTCTCACCCCCTTAGTGATAGTCTTTATTCTCCCCTCCTTGGAACAAACTTATTGGCACTTCAGGGTGTTTACCTGTCTTGAGGGATTCCTTATATTCCAGGATATCCCAACGTAAAGTAAAGGTGGGGTAAAGACTGTT